CAAGAGAAAATGAGAAGATGCAAAAGTGGAAACCCCTGGCAAAACCATCAGGTCTCATGAGACTTATTTCCTACCCCAAGAACACTATGGGGAAAACCCACCCCCATGATTCAAGTTATCTCCCACTGGGTCCCTCCTACAACAGGTGGGAATTATGGGAGTATAATTCAAGATGAGATTTGGGTGGGGACACAGAGCCAAACCATATCAGAGTTCTCATGAGATCTGCTTGTTTAAAAGTGTGTAGCACCTCCTCCTTTGCTCCCTCTCTCCTGCTCTGCCATGTGAAGACATTCTCATCTCCCCTTTGCTTTCTGCCATGGTTCTAAGTTTCATGAGGCCTCCCATCCATGCTTCCTGTACAGCATGTGGAACTGTGAGTCAATTAAACTTCTTTTCTTCATCAATTACCCAGTCTCAGGCAGTTCTTCATAGAAGTTTGAGAACAGGCTGATAAAATCATCTGTAATGAAAACTACTTAAAAATTTTTCAGAAAGTTATGTTTGTTCAGAAAGGATTGTGGTCCAAAGAGTAATAGCTATTAAAATGAAGAGGAACATAGGAGTAAATCTTTATGACCTTTGGTTAGACAAAGCCTTCTTAGATACAACATGAAAAATACATGCAACAACAACAAAAATTGATTTTCATTAAAATGTGAAACTTTTGTGCTGCAGACAATATCATCAAGATAATAAGACATCCCACAGAATGTGAGAAAATACTTATAAATCATACATCTGATAAGATCATGCATCTAGAATATACAAAGAACTCTAATAACTCAATAATAAAAAGATAAACAACCCAGTTTAAAATGAGCAAAGGGTCTGAATAGATACCTCTGCAAAGATGTATGAACAGCCAATAAGCATATGAAAAGATTTTCAACATCATTAGCCATTTGAAAAATGCAAATCAAAACCACAATTAGATACCAATTCAAATCCACTAAGATAGCCACAATCAAAATTAAAGATAATAACAAGAGTTGGCAAAGATGTGGAAAAAGTGGAATCCTTTCGTACCTTGCTGGCAGTACCTTGGAAAACAGTTTGGCAGTTTCTCAAGATATTAAACAGGGTTATCCATTGACTCAGCAATTTCATACCCAAGAGAAATGAAAACACGTCCACATGAAAACCTGTTACAATAATGTTCCTAACAGCATTATTCATAATAGTCAAGAGTAGAAATAATCTAGTATCCATCAGCTGGAAAATGGATAAACAAAATGTGGCATATTAATATAATAGAATATTATTTGGCAATAGAAAGGAACAAAATACTGATACATGCCACAACATGGACGAACTGTGAAACTTTGACTAAGTAGTAAATAAGCCAGGCACATGGCCAGGTGTGTTGACTCACACCTCTTATCCCAGTGCTTTGGGAAGCCAAAGTGAGAGACTGCTTGAGGCCAGGAGTTCAAGACCAGCCCAGGCAACACAGTGAAACCCTGTCTCTACCAAAATAATAATAATAATAATTAATTAGCTATATGTAGCAGTGCATACTTGTATTCTTAGCTACTTCGGAAGCTAAGGCAGAAGGACCACTTGGCCCCAGGAGTTCAAGGCTTCAGTGAGCTATGATTGTGCCACTGCACTCCAGTATGTGCAACAGAAAAAAACCCTGTCTCTAAAAAGGTTATATATTTTGTATGACTCCATTTAAGTGAAGTGTCCAAAACAAGCAAATCCATAGAGACAGAAAGTAAATTAATGGTTGCCTAGGGCTAGGCAGAAGGGATACAGAGTCACAGCTAATGTGTACAGCATTTCTTTTATGGGGAATAAAAGTATTCTAAAATTAGATGGTTTCACAATTCTGTAAATATACCTAAAACCATTAAACAGTGTACTTTAAATGGATCAAATGTATGGTATGTGAAATATGTCTCAAAGCTGCTAAAAATGAATGGGCAACAACTATTACCATAAAAACACAATAATTAAATATCTTAAACATAGTTTTATAACTAGAATGAGCTGATTTAAATGCCAAATTAAGATGAAACATTTCAATATGATGCCTCTAAATACAAACAAATAAAGATATAATTGCTCCCAGCACTTTGGGAGGCTGAGGCGGGTGGATCACGAGGTCAAGCGATCAAGACCATCCTGGTCAACATGGTGAGACCCTGTCTCTACTAAAACTACAAAAAATTAGCTGGGCATGGTGGTGCGTGCCTGTAATCCCAGCTACTTGGGAGGCTGAGGCAGGAGAATTGCCTGAACCCAGGAGGCGGAGGTTGCGGTGAGCAGAGATCGCGCCATTGCACTCCAGCCTGGGTAACAAGAGCGAAACTCCATCTCAAAAAAAAAAAAAAAATTTAAAAAAGAAGATATGATTGCCTGAATATTTTCAAAACATACGTAGATAAACTTAACAGAACAAATTTCTTTTTCATTTTTATTAAGATATTTGGTATAACATGGGAGCAAAGAGTAACAAAATCCACAGAATGTGAGAAAATATTTGCAAATCACACATTTTATAAGAACTTGGGCCAGGCGTGGTGGCTCACGCCTGTAATCCCAGCACTTTGGGAGGCCGAGGTAGGCAGATCACCTGAGGTCAGGAGTTCAAGACTAGCTTGACCAAGATGGCAAAACCCTGTCTCTACCAAAAATACAAAAATTAGCCGCCTGAACTCCCCCTACTTGGGAGGCTGAGGCAAGAGAATTGCTTGAACCTGGGAGGCAGAGGTTGCAGTAAGCCAAGATCACACTACTGCACTCCAGCCTAGCAACAGACAAGACTCCATCTCAAAAAAACAAAAACAAACAAACAAAAAACTTGCACCAAGAATATACAAAGAGCTCTTACAATTCAATAATAAAAAGATAAGTAACCCAATTTAAAATGAGCAAAGGGTCTGAATCGATATTTTTCCAAAGAAAACATGAAAGAAATTCCGAAAGACTGCTCATTGGTTCTCCTGCATGGAAACCAATTAGAGAATGCTTACAGAAGCTGATATGCCTTTGGGACAAAATGAACTTCAACATGGCTCTATAATTTGAAAGCTGCCATAGAGTAACAAATAAGAAATACCATTAGACAGTTCTTGACACTCTTGAATACACTTCTCCCTACTGAGATGATGTCAAATCAAAAAGGCTTGAATGGACTTTTATTCTACACCCTTCAAAATAACAACTGACAGAATTCAAGAGACTGTGGGGAAAGAAAAAAGAATGATCAACTCCCTACAATAAGAAAATATTTGGATGGGCTTGAAGCCTTGAAAAGATTGTTGATAGAATAATGACTGGTAAAGATCCCATATTTTAACTTACTACTCTGCGTATTTCCTGAAAGTAATACTGTACTAAATATAGGCAGAAAGAAGTTAATTTCTATTAGTTAACCTAAAAATACCACTTGTTAAACAAAATGAAATTTATCTTACTTCAAAAAGTGAAGTTTTCAAATTTATTTTTCTCCAGTGATATGTATACAACATAATACCATAATAATTTATTAAAAACCAAGTTATATAAGATAGTAGTATATAAAAAGTACATACTCCTACCTAAGGGACTATTTGAAAGGGTTTCTCAAGCTGAAATTACTATTGAGTCCACTATTAATGATTTATGCTCTAGCTCAAATATCCCTTTATTGCCAAAACTTAAAGAGGAAACTCAGGAGGGTGGCAGGAGAGGAAGGAAGAGAGAAGAATAGGAGGAGGAGAAAGACAGTGATGACAATGGGTTAAAGAAATACGACGTCAAAAGAAGACTACATACATAGGTTTAAATTATATGCATGTATACATGTATATCAGCTGTGCTTGGACAACTCAAAGCTGGGAATAGAGTTTTGGTTTCTCACCAGAAAGTTAAAGAGACCTGTTAAACTAGAAAATAACTTATATTGTCAGTCTTTCTCTCTATACCAAGCACTGCCAAAGAATACACATGTGAAAGACATATGAGAGAAGTTCTAAATCTATTATTGTTGGTCTAGAAAGCCTTATAAAAACTGAAAAAATGTTAAATCTTAAAAACCAATTTCCCTCAATGAATTAGCAGAGAAATAATATGCAATCATAACCAAATATACATAAATTTACTTTTATAAAATTTACAAGTCAAATAGATAATTCACTATACCTAACTTTCAGAGTCCCTCACTATGTAGTCCAAGTAAACTTCCTGTCTCATTATCCCATCTAAAGTTAAGTTTCACCAAATCGTTTTCCTATTTGTTAGTTTACTGTTTTAATTAAAATTTAAATGTAATTTAATCTAATGTTAAATTATTGTTTTTCTGTGCACTTCCCTCAATCCAAGTCAATTTTACAAACTGCATTCAAAAAATTACATGTTTTCCTAATAGGAACTATGCTGGAAAACATTTTTTTTCTCTTTTAAAAAATTCTAAAATCATTAAACAATCCATCCTACTTCATATTTATGTTTTGTGAATCATTTCAGAAAATCTGCCTTTTAAAAATGCATTATTTTAAAATGTTTAATTTAATGAGTCTTATAGACAATTTTTTTAAGAAACAAATATAACACATATAATGAAAAGGTCAGGTGGCCCTGGAATTAAAAGAGAGGTAAATTATGGGTTCAAAAATATCCCCTGAATTCGTATGATACCTTTGAAAGGTACTTCACATTCTTTTGGATTTCACTTTTAAATGTAAAATGAAGTAGAGGTCTCTCCAGCAAATTCCAACTCAAAATTCTATTATTCTTCAATTCCTACTTCATAAGAAGAGTCAACAGGAATGCAGAACATAATAACCATTCATTTTACAAATAACTTTGTGCCCATAGAGAACTGTCTCTCAAATATTGCTGATTTTTAGAGACAGGGTAACTCATTTTCAAAGAAGGGTAAACTCAATTATGATAAATTTGTATTTCTTGACTAATAAAACAATATTGTCCATGATGAAAACCAAGAGATTTTAAAGGACATATTTTTTAAATGAGCCAAAATCTTCATAAAAACAGAATTAAGCACTTACTTTTACTTGAAGATCCTCAGAACTTTCTGTTGACATGTACAAAGAGAGCAGAACTGGCAAAGTATTTGTGACTGCAACAGCCCGTGCATGTTCAGGAGTATGTCTTCCAATCTGTCCTAAGGCCCAAGCAGCCGCAGCCTTAATATGATCTTCTGGTTCTTCTGACAAGCAGACTGACAACTGGGGTACACCCTGCAGTGTGGATCAAAAGAGCAAGTGATATGAATCTAGAGCAGGATTAAAGAGTCTTCCATGTCTCTCAAACACGAGAAGAAATCATTTGATCCTTTTTTTCTTAAACGGTTCAATAAAAGAGCACATCACAGGGGCTGTCATTTATTAAGTCAATAAAATGACTAGAACTAAATTACCTTAATTATCTATAACAATTCAACTAAACCAAGAATATCTCTACTAGCTTTTACCCCCCAAATAGGGAGGTATTTAACCAAACAACAGATGTCACAGACTAGGAAATAGGCAAACCCAGATGATACTGTGACAAACAAAAAATGTTTAGAATTTTTAAATCTTTTATTTTCCTTTGTTAAAAATTTAATTTAGAATCTTTAAAGAAATTGTCTTTTCACCAAATATAATAAACATGAGAAGAAAATAACTACTATAGATTCAAAATCAAATAAATCAGTAAGAACTACCGTATCTAAGTACCTTTTTGATGAAATACATTCACTAACATCTTTTCTAAAACAGTACATAAATAATTTTCCATTCATTATGGTCAACTTTTAAATTATAGTTTTGTCCACTTTAACATGATTGAATGTCAAAACAGCAATGATTACTTTTGTTATACAGATAGCACATGCTCACATTTTGCATCTTTGGCTTCAATTTTATCTAAATAATAAAAACAGAATTAACTAAAAAGTCTCAAATATATTACATTTTGTATACCCAGGGAACAATTTTTTAAAAATCAAATTCTAATTCCAGATTCTGCATAGGTGTAATTTTCTGACTAATTTGTGATTACAGTAATCATCTTAAATTTAGTACCACAAAAAACTATCACATGGTTATACTGCCATAGCAAAGGCCAGAATTATCATATATGCTTTAATTCTTTGCTTTTAATGTGGTTATTAAGACCAATTGCCTGAAGAGATCATGTGTATTTCTTCATTGGCTTTTTTCCTACAACTAAAAATGTATGTCTGCCAATATTAAAGGTCAGACCTGTCTCCAGAATGAAGCAACTTTCCAGAAAGCCCACATGTCAAGGATGTAACAAGACTGAAGAAGCAGGGGCAAAAGGAGACAGTGCCTCCACTCCATCCCCAAAGCTCTGACTTGTTGTCCTCAGTTGTAATGAACAACCAATAAAATAAGGAATACAAATTTGCTTTAAAATTACTATTTAAATGTAAGGTATTATTGTTAGTCTTTATAGTACTACACAGGAAAAGGAGAGAGTTCCACCATACTATGTGGCTTGCCTGAAACTGCTGGAGTTTCAGCAAGCAACACCTTGATCTCTAATTATCTGAAAAACAAACCAGGTGGGAGCGGCCAGCAGCAACCTTGGACCAAATATGGGGAGAGACTCCTGGTTAGTTTCAGGAAGACATATGGGAAGCAAAAGCAATTGCTTCTTCATTCTTCATTCTTCCCATGCATAAGCTTCATGACTATCCACAAAAGAACCAAGGATCAAAATCCTGGTAACATCCTTACCTTCAGAAAGCACCACTATTGCTCTAGTCACTATCACAGTCTCTGGTAATAGAAGAACAAAAGGTAAAGAGCAGGATAAAAGGGAGTAAAGCAAAGAATTATCATGAAATAGGTAGAAAATAAAGATCTGAGGCCCCTTTTTATTCTGATGATTAGTAAGGGATAAAAAAAGTCCACATTTCTGTTTAACATACAGCAGCAGGTTTTCTATGCTGATAAGAAACCCACACCCTAGAGGGTCACCACACACACTGTAAGCATACAGGCTTTGAAGCCTTCATCAGAGATCAATATTTATGCATTAGCATATATTTTGTGAGTACCTACTATGTGCCAGGGCTGTACTAGATGAGGGGTTCTTACAAAGTTGTCAATTGAGATAAAGCAAAATCCCTAGAGCAAGGAAACAAAAACACTGCTTTCTGACAGGTACTCTGAATTGCCTAAATCTAAGAGGAGAAATAGTTCATAAAAGCTGAAGGAGAGAAAGTGGATAAAAAGGGATGTCTTAGCCATTGTCATCTCCTACTCAAGTCACAGGAAGGGAGGGGTATATAGACCTCCCAGAATACTGAAAATGACTACTGGGCATGACATTTACGAATAGGTGTTTGTAACAAAAGTAAGCTTCACATGTTGTAGATATGTACAATTAAACCTTCAAGATACAAATAAACAATATTTAAATTCAGATAATACTATGCTCAAAATAGTTCATATTTTGTTGATAAGAAATACTGAGTAAAACTTTAAACTTCCCATAACCTAAACCTTACCTCAGTGATTGCTTTGGGAAACTTGCTAATAAGCATTGAAACAATCAAAATTTTTTCAGGTAATTTTTTTGCTCCAGTTAGTTATATTTTGTATTCTGTGGGACAACATTAATCTGTAATTCTGTCTTAGAATTTCTTACTGTAACTAGAAGAAAATGAAGCAAGAACAAACCTTAGAAATGATGACCGCCATTGCTAGGTTCTCAGAATGAGCTGCTATGTAACCAAGCATCATGATGCCAGGCAGCCGTGTGTTCCCTTTGCAGGAGCCAATACAGTCAATCACAGCAGCAACCCCTCCTGCATTAACTACCAGCTGTGAAAGCTAAGAGATGGGAACAAGAGTTAGATAACGAGGACCCTATGATGGTCTTTAAATACAGTTTAATATTGCTACACTCTATTTGGAAACTAAAAACAACTGGTGAAATTGAAATACCATTTAGTGAAATCATTATATTTATTAAACAAATATACAAGTACAATAATACTGCTAGTTCAAATGCACTTTTATCCCTATTATAATGGATGTCAAAATTCCTCACCTAGACACTAAGCCTAGGGCTAGTTCATAACTACTACTGAAACTCCCAATCACAATGGGTGAGTATGAAGCAGATTAATCACTGAATGCTGAAAGACAATGTCAGACTTGAAATATTCTAACCTAATTGTTCCCCCAGTAATAATTACTAGCTGAGTGCACTTCAATTTTGAAAAATCTCAACCAAATAAAGATGTTAGCGGAAATAAGGAATGAGGACTTAAAGTTTAATGAAATGAAAACTGATTAGTCAAAACATGCACAGAAAAAAGATACTTCAGAATCAACACAGGTTTGCGTTGTCTCTATTTCTTTCCCATCTAAGAACTCAGAGCAGGAAATCACCACGTAAGAGCAGCTATTGGAGTGGTCACAGTAGGCCAGGGGACCTTTGTGATTTCTCCCAACCTGGAGCTATAAGAGTGTTCTCACTACTCCCAGCTGACATAAAATCGTAAGGATGACAAAATTCCATAGTCCTTACAATCTAGAAATGGAAAGCTGGAAATGACTAGAAACTGAGATTTCAAGCTCAAACTCTGCTAACATAACCCAGTGTTCTCAACTGGTGGCAGTTTTGCTCCCTGGGGAACATATGGCAAAGTATGAAGACATTCTTGATTGTCACTACTTGTCAGGGAAGGGTACTTTTGGCATCTAGTGGGTGAGGCCACGGATGCTGCTAAACATCCATCCTACAATGTGCAGGACCAGCTCCCCACAACAAAGAACTACCCAGTCCAAAACATCAGCAAGTGCAGAAGACAAGAAATCCTGACCTAACTAGATCATGTGCCACAACCCTTAGGCCCTATAAACAAATTCATGTTTTACTTAAAAACTAAAACTAACTACTACATATTATTGTGTTTTGAAGTTTCTTTTCACCTCAGGTGTATGTTTTGCAATCTCTCTAATTAAAGTAGAAGCATTTTTCTTCACGTATTCATCCTTGTCCTTCAGACAGGTAAGTACAACTGGAAAAATCTCTGCTTCAACAACCATTTCTGCCAGATCCACGGAATGTTTCGCAACCTGACTGAGAGCTGAAAGGACCTGATGCTGTGAAGCCAAAAAACAAAACAAAACACTATATAGCATCCACTACAGAGTTCAGATGTAAACAGTTTTGTATATATTCAAATTCCTTTATAAAAGGAAAAAAATGTATAGACCTAACACAACCTAAGATTTCTGAGTCTTGAGACTTTCACACTGTAGTCTTATATCCAAGTTTTTAAAATTTCCTAATTTCCAAATTAGTTCTCAATATTTTAAAACTCTATTCAAGTTAATTAAATAACATGACCTCTGTAAGAATATCATTTCTTAATTATGTAGTACTAAGGTTGCTAATTTATGAGACATATGATCATTTAGTACAAAAATCATCAAGCAGAACAATACCTTTGACATGATGCTGAAATGATACCATTTCAAAGAACTTTCTATTGCTTGGTTAACATTAACAATTTTAAAACATTATAGGATATAACTATTAGAATATAAAAGTATAATTGGTGACTGTTAACTAAAAATCATATTTTAGAAAGCTATAAAAAAAGGTAACATAAATACGGCAATTTCTATAAGAAACAGTATTATAGTGGTAGGTTAAAAAAACTTTAGGTCTTTTCCAAACCAGAGATTTGATCATTATCTGATTCTGTGCTTTAATTATTAATGTTAACACCGATGTTACTTCTTGTCTTCAACACTGTACATAATTTCCCCAATCACATCTTTGTTATCTAATCTTACAGTATTATTTTCACATAATGAGACAAAATGCATCATATATTCATATCTATCTTCAGAGATAATTTACTAATTATTTTTAAATGCAAAATATTCGTATGTTCACATTTTTATTCTCTTATATTATGAGAAGATTGATGTGTTTTTCAACCTTATTTTCAAATACCTTCAATTTAGCATCAGGGTTCAGGATCATCTGGGCTAAGTGAGCAACAGCTCCTGCATCCACTACTGTCTGTGCTAACTCTGGAGAATGCTTTGCTATATCACTGAGGGCGGAAGCAGCAATCCTTTTCAAAGCAATTTCTGGCTCCTGGATACAGAGTACTAAAAGAGGAACAGCTCCCGCATCCACCACAGCTTGTGACAGTTCTGTGGGTCCAAGAAAAGTAATTAAGTGAGTATGGGTGACTGACCCTTGTGCAAGCCATTTTTCACCCTGACAGATACAGCAAAGAAAAAAGGGGAGGGTGTACTTCACTCTCTCGACATCTGCATTTCAAATCAGGCTTCCTGGTTCCATAAACCATGTGGACCAATCCTGAGCTGAAAAGAATACAGGTCAATAGATGGACCTCCATTTACATGAACACATTTGAGGTAGATTAGGCTGAAATGGCTTGTTATTCTTTTTTTTTTTTTTTTAAGAGAGTAAGCAGATGTCAGCTGTTTAAGCTCTGACAATTCTGCACTTCTCAATAGACAAGCATTTTGTGCATGGTTTACAATAACAGAGAAAATTAAAGTACCAAAAATTTACCAACCACACTAATTAGGCAGTATTTTGTGCTATTTACATGAGTAAACATTAACATGAATCTTGTGCCAATAATGTCGATTTTTAAATTCATTTTATTTTGTAGTACTTTTAAAAGATTTTTTAAAAACTTACACAAAATTGAAAGCTGCCTTTTGATTGCATATATAAAAATACTTTCAAAAATGAGATCTACTACTGATCAATATACTTCTATATATAAATGTTAATGTAAATTTATCTAACTCATGTCAGAAATCAAGTATATATCTTTTGAATACACATGTTGATTCACTTGTATGTCCAAGAATAAGAGCTACAAAAATAGCACATTTTAAATTACAGATAATGAGAGACAGGCAAACAGACCTATATAATATCTATGAAAAAACTGCCTTTTGAGAAGCATAAAGCACTACATACGGTTACAGATTCTACTCACATTGTATTCACGGCCCCTCTTACTGAATTACAGACACCCATTTCTGGAATCTCTTCCTTTCAAATTATGTTCTTATTTTCCCAGATGTGTAGTGCCTTAGTTATATATAGATATCTTAACTGTCAAGCTAAGATCTCTATTTAGCATATCACTTAAAGTCTTTAATTTGAAGATAATACCGTGTTTGATTTTTCAAAGTATTGGTAATATCACATCTTCTAAAAGAAAACATTAGCAAATACAGGATAGTGTCCAATATTTACTTTCCTTAAATTATCATAATTATCTTAGAAGTCCCAATATTGTACAAACAATTCATTCTTTCATTAAACAAGTATTAATGGAAGGCTATTAAGTGACAGGCTCATTCAACTCGGTGCCAATGACACACTTCTGCAAATTAACACTACATTCATTAGCAAAGGTATGTTTCAATTTTTAAAATTTGGTGTACAATATGGTATACTATGGGAAGTTCTTATGTAATCTCCAGAACCCAAGGTAGATGAGAGGAATATGTTTTGTCTTGTTTTTTGAAAAGAAGACAATAGCCAACAGACTGCAGTATCAATAGAAATATAACCCAGGTTCCTTAAAAACAGCCTCTGGGACGCTACTGCAATAGACTGAAGACCATGAAGACAGCAGGTGACAGAGGTGATCACTGTTTCTCTTCCCCCAAACACCCCCATACTCATCCAAAGGAAATGGGGAAAAAAGTATAAAATGTTATATTACATGTACTTTCTAAATAAAATCTCATATTTTCTGATAATTATTAACATGCTACTTAAGAATCTGACTCAATCCAAATTATACAGGTGTCATATAGTAATCATTTATATGTTCCTATTTAAGCACACCTGGAAAAAAATATATATATAGCTGAATATTTTGAGAAAGTGTAAGTATTAGTTCATTTACTCATGTATTTTCATTTTTATGTCCAGTTTCTAAGAGTAAAGAATATGTAGCAAACTACAACTGTTTAAAAGTACTATTAATAAAAACTCAAGATACTTTTTAAAAAATATATATTATCTGTCTTTATAACTCCAATTCATTTGACCTGTTCCTTGAGTAATTCTTGAATGCAATATCCTTCTTCCTTAGAATACCATAATGTTAATAAGAAAGCAAATTGTGTTCTTCCAACTTGTTACTCAATCTCATCCTAGGCTGTTTTCTATTCTCTCCACAGTAGCAGTGTTAAATGTGGGGAAGGCTGGGGCTGGCAATGGAAAAAGATTTGTCATGAAGGCAATGAAGTTTCCAAGGAACTGAAGTAAGCCTAGCAATTTTGTTCTTGCAAATTCATACAGTTTACATCCCCAAATGTATATGGTTCTACTGCTCTTGAGTAGCACACTTTTTACTTAGAAATAGTAGTGTTCTCCTAGCTTCAAACATATAATAATATTAAATATCAGTGAGTGTATATACAACTAAGAATACAATAGGCCTAAGTAATATAGACCCTACATATTACACATCCAACAGGCTATTTCATTCTGCCTCTGTCACTACTCTTTTCCCATTATTGTTTCCTCTGGTGTTTCTATGCCAGCCACTGTTGGTGTCTACCCAATAGCCATCGTCAGCTTGGGCAAAGGCTTGTGAGCCAATCCTAGACCTCAGCAGAAGTCAGCTGGGAGCAACTGTGAAAGCTCTGTAATAAACTGAGATACACAGCAGAAAATACCGTCTCTTCTTTGTTGGACATGGTCATGTCTGCAAATAACATCTGGAACTCCTACATCCATCTTGCAATTCTAACGGAAGAAATCACCAATATGCTGAGGATGGCTGAGTACAAAAATGAAAAACATCTGGGTACTCCATGACACTGTTCAGCTGTAAAACCAGCTTTGGAACTGCCCTTACTCTGAACTTTGTGTCATGTGAATTTTAAAAATGTCCTCATTGCTTAAGCCACTTGTAATTTACATTCTATAACTTACAGCTAAAAACATCCTGATATAATTCTTAAGCTTGGTGTCTTTACATAGTTTTTCTCTCCTCCTTCACTCACTGAGTGTTCATTAGGTGCTTACTATGTGCTTGTTGCACACTTGGCCAGATCTTGGGGAAGGGAAATAAAGTAAAACATTATTCTGTGCTAGAAAACCCTGCTCAGAGTGAATACATGAACAGACCACTACAAGTACAGAGCAGAGCCAGGAATCAGGTCTGTGGAGTATTCAAGGAAAATGTATACAGAAGTGTCATTTCAGGAAGTACTTCCAACCTTACTTCCTTCTCCTCTTTTCTTTTTTTCTATATTTTCTACTCAAAAAAAAAAAAAAAAAAAAAAAAAGCAGTAGCAACCAAAACACATACAAAACTGTGCACACCTAAAAATCACTTCCCATAGGAGAACTCTCATGAAGATCATTTTAAACTCAAATGTAGAAATGAGTTTTTAGATGTTCTGTGATCACACTTATGAAATCAAAGATTTATATGTACTGACTTAGATGCTCATAAAAGGGTGACCAAAAAGAGCAGTGTGCCAAGAAATTTATCTTCAGTCCCTGAAAATATCATTGCCTCATTTCAAATTTTAGGTAAATCTTTTAAAGAAATTTTAACATATATCTTCTATTATACAATAACATGTGATATATCCTATACTGTTATATAACAAACAAGATTAAAAAGAGGTCATAACTATGTCTACAAATGCAAAGAGAAAAGGCTACATGTTATACCAACAGACCAACGGCATTTATACTGGGTTGATGGTACTATGGGTGGTATATTTTTTCTCTGTTTGCCAAATTTTATTCAATGTGATTTTTTTAAATAAAGAAATACAAGCATGTCTCTCTAATATAGCTACTGCAGGGCCTAACTGTACAAATGTTATTATTACAAAGGAAAGACAAATATAAAATTTTTAGCTTATTTTTTAATATAGAAGAAAGTTTCTTATTTTAAAAGATGGTGGAATATATTTCTTCTTTAATAAGGCACAACTAAATAATGCACATCATATATATTACACATCCAACAGGCTATTTCATCCCGCCTCTATCACTATTGTTTTTAAATAAATTATATGAAAAGAGTATGCAATTCTTTTTCTTCAAAGAATTACTAATATATACTAGAAATAATATTCATTTACTTTTTCACACTTATCCTGCTGCCTTAATTCATACCCTTACTAAAATTAAAATATTATGTTTTTTAAATGTTAGGGGTTATTTACTTTTAACCTTTTTTTTTTTTTTACTGCAAACTGTCAGAAGAAATTATCCAATAGCACCTTCCTTATTCACAAATAATAATTAAAGTTGTTTATTGCATATGTAGACAACTAAATGTACAGTCACCAAATTTGATGATTAGCTGTTTCTTGTAAGGGAATAACTGGTTTTATTTGGCTTAGGAATAGCCCGTTTTGAGTGGAAAATTGAGGCAGCCTCCTCTGTGGGACTGTGACATGGGAGGAGGGAGCGTCATCTTTTCACACTTCTCTGCCTCTCTCAGTTTTTCCATAATTCTTTCCAACAACATTTATGGGCCTTATGTGCATACAATTTTTTGATCAGTAATAACATGTAAAAACTTGGGGTGACAAGACTTTGCTTCTCACACAGTTGCATTTTCTTAAGAATTTCATTCTGCACTGTTTTTGGAACCTGGGTTTTTGGTTTCTTTGATTTTTTTTCCTGACTAAGGGCTACCCTTGCAGTGATCTGTCAGTAACAGGCATGGGAAGTGTTACAATTTAAGTGGATCAAAATCTTCAACTTAGAATAATCAAAAACCTCAGCATGACTTTAGGTTTAAGTTTAAAACAGAAAGAAAACATAAATTAGGAGGAGATTTAAGAACAACAAAATTCATAATATTAGTACTATCTAATGCTGCATGAATTGAACACTAGAAATGACTCTATGTTGACTCGAAGGGAAGGGAGCCAACAGGAATGCCCCTCAGCATAGCATTAGTATGGCTGTTACTAGGTAAATCAGACAAAAGTGATCTTGCTTTAATAGTGCCCCAGTGACTTCAGCCTCTCTCAATTATGTCATGGCTAGTTGTCTGTTTAGATCAGAAATGGTCAGTGCAAATGCCCACAGGGCCCAGGAAAGTAACTAAAATAAATGAAGACAGAGGATGTTTGGGGAAAAAAAAAAAAAAAAAAAAAAAAAAAAAAACGGT